AACCAACTGAACCAACTGAACCAACTAAGCTGACGGGATCGTACAGTCTCAACGCCCGGAACTGCAAGGACTCCTGCTTGCGCCACAAAGCCATCAGACCAAAGTCAATCACTCCGAGATGACGTGACTGACAGACGACAGAAGAGGATGCAAGACTCATTTCGCCCACAGCACAACACTCACCAAAGCACACCAGCAGCTTGGCGAGCATCCACCTAGGCTCCAACTGTAACGAAATGCATTATACTGTATCAATCCACGCAGGGCTGCAATGCCGCGCACTACCAGTCCGCAACCCAGCCTTGGCGCGGCGGCACGCGGAACACCTTGACAATGCCCGCCTTGAGATCATCCAGCCTCAGACTGACCTCGTCGGGGCTGGCGCCCTTCTTGCCCTGGCTCTGGACGACCGCACGCAGCTTGTTCTTCTTGGGCTCGACATCGACGAGCACGAGCAGTGTCGGACTCGCACCCGTGCCCAGCGTGGTGTGGTAGGGCGTAAGGCCCTTTTTGCCCTTAAAGTCGGCGCCTGCACACGAGATGACATCGCCCGGTCGCACCTCGTCCGCAGCAGCCTCCATGACTGTCGGCCCCACCTGCGTCAGCACAGGCACGCCCAGCGCACTGCCCACGGGCGGCAACGCATTCGGCACCTGCCCCAGCAGCGCATACACCATCCCGCGCGCAGTACCGTCACCCACCGCCACCCCGGCCTTGACAGCATCCGTTGCCATGCGAGCCAGAGTCGATCCGATGCCAGCCGACCACTGCCGCAGCTCATCCGCGCCCGGCTTGGCAGGCGCAAAGTTGTGCCGCTGCGTCAAGCTCGTGTGCACCTCGTCCAGATCGTCGTCCTGGAACGAGAGCGAGATGACCGTGGTCGAGTAGTCTTCGAAGAGCATGTAGATGTTGGCGCGGTGCACGGCGACGCCCGCATCGCTGCTGCTCGACGTGTCGGCGTACAGGATTGCATCGGGCCGACCGGCGACGCTCGGCGGCAGACGCAGCGGGTTCAGCCCGTGCCGCCACCACCGGCTGCTTGGCATCAGATCCAGGTCCCGGCTCGACTGGCGCGCTCCCACCGCCACCCCACTGCCGGGTACGGGCGGCAGGCTCGCTTCGGTCCTCGCGACGGCTGGCGACGCCGCCACTTCGGATGCAGGCGTGGCCACCGATGCATCTTGACCCGCACCCACCGACGCGTACGACGCAGACGAGCCCTGTCGGCGCGGCGGCACACTCGCCTGGCCTGGCAGCGGCGGTGCCCGC